TTTGTTTGAGGCGGAGTCATTGTGTTGTGGTCTTGGGCAAGATACTTTACTCTAACAGTACCTTTCTGAACTCAGGTGTATAAATAGTTAGCAGCGAATTTATTGCTGGCATGGGTGGTGGGAGATGACGCTGCGATGGACAAGGAGTCCATCCGGGGGGGGGGGGGAGGAGGGATGAACTACTCCTATTCAATTCATGTTACGGAAACTTTCATAAGCTCCGGCCATGTGGACCACTTGACCTTGCGCGGACTTTACTTACCTACCATAGTCATTTTCAGCGTAAAAGGCCCGACTGATGAGTGGAATACGGTGTTTATAAAGGACGCATTTTTAAGGCTTGCGTTCTTGCGTCTAAAGATGACTTTGTTTATTTAGATAACCAGTATAATTATTGAATTTTAGTTTTTCATTGTTGTTTTCTTTTACTTTGTTTACCAGCATATTTTTCCATGAAATTAGCGCGTTACAAATACAAAATATTATTACTTGTTGTTAACTCGGTGTTAATGTATTGAGTTAGACAAAGACTGATTCGAGAAGTTGCTGAAAGAGTTTTTAAATTTCAGTGTTCTGTTCAGCCAGTCCTTAGTAAGCAACGTGATACAAATTGGACAAATCCTTGTCAATTAAAAAGATAGTTACAGCTGTTAGTATGCGAGCCAATATTACAATATTACAAGGTAAACATGCGATTGCCTGATTTTTGCAGACATCGACGAGTGTTTCAACAATCCTTGTATGCATGGTGCCTATAGCTGCAAGAATACCTTTGGAAGTTATGAGTGCAACTGTGCATCAGACTACACAGGAATCTATTGCCAAATAGGTAAAGTATATTTTGCTGCTTTCTTATTTCCCAATGTTGAGCCTCGATGGATATCTTATACTCAAAATGTTTTGAGAAAGTCAAAAACTTATCTGTAAACTTATGCATCCTAACCAGCTCTTTGACTTGCAACCCACCCACCCCCCCCCCTTCCCCCCCTTAACAACCACCACTCTACTACGGCTACTTTCCTCTGTCCCCAGAGTGGCCGTTGCGGAGAAGTTCGATTTTAATAGTCGGATTTTAACTTTTCTCTTAGGGATATTGACGGATATCTTTGATGTCGCCTTCTTATTTGATGGCTCATCCTACTTGGGCTCTGATCATTTCCATCAAACACTGCTCCTTGCCAAAACGTTGTTGTCCAAGCATAACATCTCCCAGGACCAAACTAATGTGGCTGCGGCGGTATATGCAAGCTCTGTCAGCTTTGGGTTTAACTTTACAGAACATTACAGCTTTGCAGAGGTTGCTGCCGCCATCGACAATTTACCGTTCCTCGATGAAACGCCTCTAAAAATTGACAATGCGCTACGCCTTGTTAGCGAGGAGATTTTTACCACTGACAGAGAAAATATACCCGACGTCCTAGTGATATTTGTTAGTTCTACACTCAGTGGTAATTTTACGGGAATTTCACAATCGCTTCGCGAGGAAGGGATAAAAATTATCGTCGTTGGGGTTGGAAGCAGTTTTGAATTAGACCAACTGGAAAGCATTGGTGATCACGTGATCACCATTAGTTACCAGGACCTGGATGTTATGGAAGGAGGCGTTGGTGGTGCGGTCAGTGAAGGTAAACTGAAATTCTTGTACATTCTCCTTGTTGTATTTGACTATAGCAGTCTTGGCAATCAGTATCGATCTAGCCCCTTGTACTTTTCTTTGTTCATTGTGTAAGGAAATGGGCTAAAAGGAAAATTACAAAAACGAAAGAAGAACATAGCAATAATAACAAGCAAACAAACAAATAAACAAGAACCCTACAGCAGCAGGGAAAAAACAGAAACAAAACAAAAACAAAAACAAAACTGCAAGAAAAAACAACAGCTGCAATGTCTCATTGGTTTGCATTTACAATTATTGGTTTTCACCGGTCATGTGATCGAAGCAAAAAGTCGCAACCACAGAATAAATAACGTTAAGATTACAGGATATGATCGATAATTCGTACATAAACAACTTCGCCAACAATAAGGTTTCTGCAGTTTTTCATTCGGGCATTATTAAGTGTTTCGCCAAAATTTACAGAGTTTGAGTTTGCCCTTGGAGGGGCACACATATGGCGGCCGTTTAAGCAAAAGAAACATCTGTCATTGAGTTTTGCTATTTAAACGAGAAGTTACAACACTGGAGCTACGACACGTTGCAAGAATTGTTCAAATTATTAAAAGAATTGCAAGAACTGTTTAAGTATCCAATCTTCTTTTCCCCAAAACACGTAAACAGAGACGAGTCTATACTTTTAGAACTCAGTGTTATTTGTGAATGGTATCATTTTGCAGCTGTGGATCCATGTGCAAGCTTTCCATGTCAGTATGGAGGAAACTGCAGTCGCTTCGGCAGTAACTACACCTGTTCGTGTCCCGATGGCTTTAAAGGTTCAACTTGTGAGCAAGGTAGCAAGAAACCTACCTTCATGTTTACTATCATAATGCATTTTTGATAAACCTAAATCTCACACCTCATTCTTATTTTAGGTTACTTCTTAATAGCGCACGCGTGCTGTAGAGCAGTTTTCATTTGAGTGTCGAAAAGTAATTGATTTTACATCTACTACGCTTCACGATTGACTTTAAAAACTTACGCATTTTCTTTCGTGCAATCAGAAGTAATTCCAAAACCAATCGAGAGTCACTCGCACTCATTTTCCGCCATATATGTGGCCGTTGTTTTTTATCTACTTCAAGGAATGTAGATATTCGTAGATGTAACAACTAATGTCAAACAGCTAAAGGTAATTGCTTCGAATTTTGATTGCTATATTTGATTGTCGGTGTTCTTTGTCATTGGTTAGAGTGACTACTTTGGTTTTGGTTTTACGACACTCAATTGATAACCGTTCTGATGATAATCAAGAAATGATTTTTTTCTTCTTTTGTCATGAGTATTTTCGTAGGGCTTCTTTAAACACCAGCTAAGGAATAAATGTTAGGTTCCCATCTTCAGTATAACAGTGCTGTCTCTATTTTCCTGTTAGACGTCAATGAATGCCTTTCTGCTGAACAAAATTGCACACATGGGAAACAATGCATCAACACGTGGGGCGGTTACCAATGTGTGTGCAGTGATGGTCGATACGGAAGCCAGTGTCAGTACGGTAAGTGTATTTAAAAAAATATCTGAGCTACTACGCGCGCTCCCATTGTTCGATGGGCGTGATTAGATGATAGTATATAAACGCGGTTGTTTTAGATTCGCGCATATTTTTGAGATTATTTTATAAACGCTATAGAGCACACTTACATGGCCTCATCTAAACACTCGGGGGACTGGGAGATTTCTCGAAAGTTATGCAAACCCTCGACTGCGTCTCTGGTAATAAATTTGAGGCGTATCAGGAATGGATGGAACACTTGCTCGAGATTAAATACACATAGCCAAGTCTATGCTTTGCCCTTCTCCTTGAATGTTCACCAAAACTCTTTTTATCAAAGGACGTTAATCAACATAGAGGGAGGGAAAGAAAAGTGCTACAAAACCAATAATGCGGATTGTGGGCTTCGCGTCTACTAGTTCCAGTTTAATATTGATTAACATTTCATTACTTCTTGTTAATGTCATGTCCATTTTGTTTTCCGCTAAGAAATCGACACCAAACTTGACATTGCCTTATTGATTGATGGCAGTCTGGTGGTTACCAAGGAGACCTTCCTAGCTTTTATATACTTTACTAAAGCGATTACTGCCTCGCTGAACGTGTCTAAAGACGAAACTCGTGTCAGTGTTTCCCTCTATGGTGATGCTCCCTTCCTGGTGTCGGACTTTAACGACCACTACAACCAGTCACCTCTAGAAGATGCCATCGACAGAGTCATGTACCCTGCAAGTCTTCAAAGTAATTTAGGAGAGGCGCTGCTATACCTCGCTTCTAATCTCCATAACACAAGCGACGGACGACCAGATGTTCCCAAAGTCTTAGTGATCCTGACGGCCAGCAAAAGCCACGATGACATCACGGTGTCCTCTCAGCTACTATTGGAGTATTATAATGTGACGATTTTCATCATCGCCGTTGGGGATCAATATAGTTTGGGCCAACTAAACGAGATCGGCTCTGATCCTGACAGTCAGCATGTACTCACAGTTGATTCTGGAAAAGATATCTCTTTTTATGTTGCATTCTTTAAGGATAAGCTTTGTCAAGGTAAGAATATTTCTAAATTTTTGGTCCAATAAGTTATTTTGCCGTTACTGTTACTGTGTTCTAATGGATTTCCTCCGATACTTAGAAATGGGGGGNCTACGATGCCACTTTCTACTTGTGCTGCAGTGGTAATCGAGTACGCAAAACAGGATTCAGGCCAGCCTGTTGTGGAAGGTACGCCTACGATGCCACTTTCTACTTGTGCTGCAGTGGTAATCGAGTACGCAAAACAGGATTCAGGCCAGCCTGTTGTGGAAGGTACGCCTACGATGCCACTTTCTACTTGTGCTGCAGTGGTAATCGAGTACGCAAAACAGGATTCAGGCCAGCCTGTTGTGGAAGGTACGCCTACGATGCCACTTTCTACTTGTGCTGCAGTGGTAATCGAGTACGCAAAACAGGATTCAGGCCAGCCTGTTGTGGAAGGTACGCCTACGATGCCACTTTCTACTTGTGCTGCAGTGGTAATCGAGTACGCAAAACAGGATTCAGGCCAGCCTGTTGTGGAAGGTACGCCTACGATGCCACTTTCTACTTGTGCTGCAGTGGTAATCGAGTACGCAAAACAGGATTCAGGCCAGCCTGTTGTGGAAGGTACGCCTACGATGCCACTTTCTACTTGTGCTGCAGTGGTAACCGAGTACGCAAAACAGGATTCAGGCCAGCCTGTTGTGGAAGGTACGCCTACGATGCCACTTTCTACTTGTGCTGCAGTGGTAGCCGAGTACGCAAGACAGGATTGAGGCCAGCCTGTTGTGGAAGGTACTCGTACGATGCCACTTTCTACTTGTGCTGCAGTGGTAACCGAGTACGCAAGACAGGATTGAGGCCAGCCTGTTGTGGAAGGTACTCGTACGATACCACTTTCTACTTGTGCTGCAATGGCAAACTGAAGCGTAAGAGCGGTTTCAGACCTCACTGTTGAGGTACCTGTGGTGCTAAGATATTTTTCTGTGTATGTGTTGTTAGATTTGGGAAAGGAAAAGGAAACTGGCTCAGTAATATAGAGTAATTAGATAAGAAACGGAACAGTGATATATAGAATATCATAGATCAACGTCAGGATAGCTGTCATTATCAAACGTAATGTCCCTGTTAGATCTATAGCGGATTGGGGAAATAACTATTCTCGTATGCGACACTCATTGTTAAGTTAGTATTAAAATTCATGATATAAACCATTTGTTTTGGTCCGTACATGGTTGTCTCTCATTTTCACCCAGTCATTGATAACCCAGATCGGAGTTAATGTATGACCAGTTCTCAGATATTTTTCATCTGAAATCAATTATGGTTAACAGATTTTACACTAACAACAATGATAGCAAAAATAATAAGCCATTCAACAAGAGTTCCTGGATCCAAAGTCACGACTATCCTTAGATTTCCAACCTGACTTTGACTTAGTGCCAATTGCTATGGGGTAGATCTTTTGTTGCGAGGAAAAAAAAAAAACTTTCACACCGAATGCAAATATGGCGGAGCACTCGGTCGGCGACCGGGACTAGCCGCATGAAGGCGAGGCTAGTCAGGCTTTGATGTTTTGTTTTGTCAATGCTTCCCCAGAAAAGTTTTGCTTCGTCGTCTATCTGGTCTGTTTTATTTCGCTGTGCCTACGAGTTGCTGTGTTTCTGAATGCCACGAGAAGGGATGGAAATCTTCCACCGTTCGCCTCTTAAGATTAGGGAAAATAGTGGAGACGAAAGAAAGGAGTCTACGTTCGCCGCGGAACTAAAGTTTGTTCGCTACATTTCAGGTTAGAAGATCTTAGAGAAAATCGCTTAAATGACGGGCTTATGTGGTATCTGGTGGTGTTCCAACACGATCTAAATGGCCAGTATCTTCCCCAAGGTAAAGAAAAGCTCCTCTTGAAAGACCCTCCGTCTCAAACGAGGAAGTTGTTTACATCCGCGTCCACTCGCACGGAATCGCACGAAACAAATACTACGGTGTAATAACTAAGCGAATGAACTTCAACTACCCCCGTCGTTGTAACCACTGACAGCATTGAACCAAATGACAAAGACTTGGAGTTAAATGCGATCGCTTACGCGTTTTCTAAGATCTTTCAGACTGAAATGTAACGAACAAACTTTAATAGTTCCTTCGGCGATCATGAACTCCTTTCCTTCGTCTGTTTTTCCCTTAGAGGCGAACTAGGAAACGAAAACAAACCACTTTCTCTGCTGTGGAAGATTTCACTCCCTTCTGGTGGCATTCAGGAACACAAAAACTTATAGGGAGGGTGAAGCAAAATGGACCAGATCGACGACGAAGCAAGACCTTTCTGGGGAAATATTGTCAAAACAAAACATCAAAGTCTGACTAGCCTCGCTTTCATGAGACTCTTCCCGGGCGCCGACCGAGCGGTCCGCCATATTTGCATTCGGTGTATAAGGAGCTCAAAGCAGCGACTGAAGGCTCCAGGATCTAATATCATGCATGGTCTCTTGACCACGTCATTTACAGTAACTCTTCTATCGTTGGCAAAGGGAATTATCGTATTTCTAAGGTTTAATCTGGAATGTTAGTACACTAAGACGACCTCTAATGCGAAAAATAACTCGTATCCACTCCTCTGANACATAAAGGGAGGGAAAGAAAAGTGCTACAAAACCAATAATGCGGATTGTGGGCTTCGCGTCTACTAGTTCCAGTTTAATATTGATTAACATTTCATTACTTCTTGTTAATGTCATGTCCATTTTGTTTTCCGCTAAGAAATCGACACCAAACTTGACATTGCCTTATTGATTGATGGCAGTCTGGTGGTTACCAAGGACACCTTCCTAGCTTTTATATACTTTACTAAAGCGATTACTGCCTCGCTGAACGTGTCTAAAGACGAAACTCGTGTCAGTGTTTCCCTCTATGGTGATGCTCCCTTCCTGGTGTCGGACTTTAACGACCACTACAACCAGTCACCTCTAGAAGATGCCATCGACAGAGTCATGTACCCTGCAAGTCTTCAAAGTAATTTAGGAGAGGCGCTGCTATACCTCGCTTCTAATCTCCATAACACAAGCGACGGACGACCAGATGTTCCCAAAGTCTTAGTGATCCTGACGGCCAGCAAAAGCCACGATGACATCACGGTGTCCTCTCAGCTACTATTGGAGTATTATAATGTGACGATTTTCATCATCGCCGTTGGGGATCAATATAGTTTGGGCCAACTAAACGAGATCGGCTCTGATCCTGACAGTCAGCATGTACTCACAGTTGATTCTGGAAAAGATATCTCTTTTTATGTTGCATTCTTTAAGGATAAGCTTTGTCAAGGTAAGAATATTTCTAAATTTTTGGTCCAATAAGTTATTTTGCCGTTACTGTTACTGTGTTCTAATGGATTTCCTCCGATACTTAGAAATGGGGGGATCACTACTCTATGCAATGTACAATTAATATATGCTTACCTATGTTCTCAAAGCACTTAGTTCGTAAGAACGTCCCCATAGATCATCAAGACCAATGACAAGACGAGGCCTAAAATAGAAGGGGTTCCAATGAACTTAGTCTTCAGACGTGTGGTGCATTCCTTAATACAGAGGGGTTGTGTAACAGGAACGTTTCAGCTACATTGACAGACCGTGGACAGTTCTTGGAAAACTTAAAAATACATTTTGGAACACTTACACTTGAACAACAACATTAACAACAACAACAACAACAACAATAAAAGCAGCGACAACAACATCGATACTATTGAGATTAGGGTTTAATACAGAATTTGTTGCAAACGTTGTATAATTGTTTGTTTGTTTGGATTTATTACAATAAGGTATCAATCTATGAATTGCTTCCTAGCACTCGACCCATGCTCCAGTAATCCATGTCAAAACGGCACGTGCAATTCCTTGAGCAGCGATTACACATGTACCTGTTATGCAGGTTATTCAGGAATGAATTGCGACAAAGGTTTGCAAACGTTTATACTCACATGTATTACAATAAACGGAAATTATATATTAAAAAAAAAAAGAAAAAAAGAAAAAAAAATACACACAAATCAAACACACGAAGAAACAAACAGACAAAAAAAAAAATCAAAAGAAGAGAGCAAAATTAACACATTTTCCAATTAAATGCCTAGTTCGGAAGGTGGATGTTATATCGCTCAAAGCCTTTGTATCACCAGACAGCTCTGTTCATGAGGCTTCTGACGAGCTGCCAACCTAAAAGTAGGAGAGACCTGCAAGCACAGTGCGTTTATGACATGGCTTTTCTCTTTCACAGGCGATGATCCTTGCAATCCAGATCCTTGCAAGAATGCTGCTACATGTCAAGTTTTGCCACTTAACTCTTATTACTGCGCCTGCCCTGCGGGGTGGACTGGGGCTAACTGCGAAGAAGGTATCTGCAGTAGACTATTGGTTGTTCTTATTTTGTGGGTTGGTTAGCTGAAGACGCGCACTTGCTTTTGTGAATCTATGTACAGAATTAAAAGAAAGACTTGTTTTTATTTTGTGTTTTAGATATCAAGGAATGTTCATTGCCTTACATTTGTCAAAACGGAGGAACTTGTGAAGAGAGATTGGGCGACTATTATTGCAATTGTTCATTGGGATATGCAGGGAAAAATTGTGATAAAGGTACGGTAAAGTTTTATGCTTTGTATTAAGAAAGGACTTCAATATCAAACAATGGACAAAAATATATCCAACATGGATAAATAAAAAAAAAACCCTCTATTTTCACAACCAGATATGAAATCTAATTACATGACTTTCCACTGTCGGAGTAGGGACCAATTGTTCATTTTGATCAACTAGTGTGATAATATTTGCCTAGAAAGGAATGTTAGCGGATCCCACAATACAAGTGAATATATGAAAGATCATATGTTGGAATTACGAAGAAAGATATGAAGACATGGTTGATCATCGCAGTTATATACACAACTTAAGCAACTTTCAGTTCGCTTGATAGCCCAGTTGAATTGGTAGAGCACTGCGCCGGTGTCGCGGAGGACATGGGTTTGAGTCCCGTTCAAGCCTGGATTTTTCTTTCAGGCTTTAATTTCACAGCTGCTTAATACGCAACATTAAAAGAACCAGTCATATTTGCGGATTTCCAACCAAACAAGCTGAGTCCGTTATTATACGGTCAGTGAGTGCGGTCAGTTTCGTTGATAACGAAGTTTTCAGTCGAGTGTCGTTAAACCAAAACCAAATCAATCAGTCTAGTCAATCACAAACTGAACACAAATAATCCAGTGAGCCAGTCAGCACTCTTAGCAAATGCCGAAGTGACGCAAAGTGCGGGGAAACGTGTGCGGTTTTACGTCTGATTGGATCAGTAACAAAGTGCTGTAAATTTCCTTTCAAACGCTTAGCATGGTAAAATGCAGAAACGAAGCAAATACGAATTATTTTCCACACTCAATTGAAAACTCGCTCTTCTTTAATGACACAAAGCAATACTTACTTTGTATATATATATTTTTTTTCTTTGCAGTGTTCCAAGAGACCATGATTGACTTGGTTTTTATGATTGATGGATCTTCTAGCCTTCAACAAGTCATGAAAATAGTAAACGTTGTCAAGTTTATACTGAGCTACCTTCCTGACCTAAACACGAATATCGGAGTGGTTTTGTACACATCAGAAGCAACGACAATAAGTTACTTTAATTACACGCGGAATCAAACACTCGACGCTTTGCATAATGTCACCTCTCTTACGGTCGGGAAATTGATCGGAAAATCGCTGAACTACACCAGGCAACATTTGTTCACGAACAGCCGCCCAAACGTCCACCGTGTTCTTGTTCTTTTCACTCACAGCACGTCTAACGACGCCGTCACGGTTGCATCGCAACAGCTTCATAATATGAACGTCACCATTATAGTGGTTGCCTTGGGAGACTGGTACGACATCGGACAGGTCGAAAGTGTTGCCAGTTATCCCCACTCAAACACGATACTGCTGACCACGTATGTTCAAGTTGTGCAGATCAGTTGGAAGGTCCATGAAATGATATGTGAAGGTAACGAGGCATTTTTGTTCGTTTATGTCTAAACGTTTTCAAAAGATGTATGCGGTTAATGTGTACCTACATACGTGTAGATGTACTTTCGTTTTCAATTTCATTTGAGAAAACCTCGTCCCAATCAATTTTCAGTCGACTGGAGGCATCTAACCCGGTCACCTTGTGGAAGACCACATCTAGTTATTGAAGTAATTATGTTTCAATGAGTCATTTTGGCTTTTAATTTTGCTATTTTAGACTAATTTTACATATCCTCTCGTTTACTGAAAGGTTTTTGAAATTTATTTTCTTTTACAGCTGTCGACCATTGCCACAGTAATCCTTGTGAAAACAACGGAACGTGTCACAATTCTTTACATGGCTACCAGTGCTCGTGCCCTGATGGTTTTAATGGAACTGATTGTGAAGAAGGTATATTAACCGTTTCTAGTTGAATATCGAAGAACACAGTGAGGCAAATTTACTACTGATACAGGGAAAGAACACAAACGTCTTGTCAAAGTAGATGTTTGGGTAGCTACACTTAGGAATGCTAGCCTTCCAAAGTGAGCTGTGCAAAAGTTGTCGTAATTAGTTGTTCATAATCCGTCTCGACCTTCCCTTGGTTATTGTTACCTGTTTACCACCATAATAATTAACTTGTGAGAAGGGGCCTAGGGAATCATTGTGAGGAAAGGAAACTCGGAGTGACTGGCCAATCCTGCAATCAGGAACTTGATGAACCACGAAGTTTGCAAAAGGAAAAAATATATATTTGCCTAAATGAGAAGTCATTTGATATGAAGGTGATTTGTACTTAATTCGCAAAAGAGGACAGTATGAAAGTTGGTACGGCTAAAATGTTCGGATGAAGGCTTGTGAAGTGCTATGTAAAATTGTATATTAATACTAGACTTAACCGCATCCTGTTGTTCCACAGAGATAGATAATTGCGCCATACACAACACATGTACTGCGGGACAAATCTGCATTAGTCGCATTGGGTCACACGACTGTGTTTGTCCGGATGGTTTTTACGGGAAACACTGTNAACGTCTTGCCAAAGTAGATGTTTGGGTAACTGGACTTAGGAATTCTAGCCTTCCAAAGTAAGCTATGCAAAAGTTCTCGTACTGAGTTGTTCATAATCCGTCTCGACCTCCCCTTGGTTATTGCTATTTACCACCATAATAATTAACTTGTGAGAAGGGGCCCAGGGAATCATTGTGAGGAAAGTAAACTCGGAGCGACTGGCAAATCCTGCAATCAGGAACTTGACGAACCACGAGGTTTGTAAAAGGAAAAAATATATATTTGCCTAAATGAGAAGTTATTTGATATGAAGATGATTTGTACTTCGCAAAAGAGGACAGTATGAAAGTTGGTACGGCTAAAATGTTCGGATAAAGGCTTCTGAAGTGCTATGTAAAATTGTATATTAATACTAGACTTCACCGCATTCTGTTGTTCCACAGAGATAGACAATTGCGCCATACACAACACATGTACTGCGGCACAAATCTGCATTAGTCGCATTGGGTCACACGACTGTGTTTGTCCGGATGGTTTTTACGGGAAACACTGTGACAAAGGTACATTATTTACTGGTTTATGCTTGACATTAAAATGGATGCAAGAATTTTCAAAGATGACCCGAACACTTCATTTGGTTTTCCAAACAATTTCGAAAAATTATCAGAGTCAACCGAGGACGTCCTAGCATTATTGTCAGCAAACAACACCGATAGCTCCTCGACAGTTGCCAAAGAATACCCAATGGCTTGATTACACTAATCTGAATGTTAGAAGCAATAATCGCATTAGGATGCAGATTTATGTCAGGGCTATTTCCAGAATTTGGCTAAACAACAAGCCTAGTTTCAGCTGTTCAAAGCTTGGATAACGCTTTTTTACCGGGTAAATCACTAGCCGGTGAAAAGCGTGGTTTGTTTTGTTAACACTTATCCACTGTATAAAGATGTATCCGATGGATGAGCGTTATCCACCATTTGAACAACTAGGCTGTGGTATTAACCAGTCTTCTCGTCAAATTTGGTGGTCTGTGAAATCTTTCTGATCCATTTAATGTAGAAATGGAACTTATGCATTACCTGTAGTGAGCGGGCATTTTAAATTGAAAAAGTGTTTCTTTTGTTTCGTTTATTTTAACCACAACTCCCTTGTTCCGCTGATGATTATGGACAAGTAGGTAACGTACCGTTCCGTGAGCTTTAATCCTTGGTTTACAACGGGAAAGTGTGCGCTTATGGAACGTTCAAAACTACGATATGGCTGGAACATAACTCCGTTTCCGCTTGAAGGAGGTGTCGCCTAAGAGAGGTGGCCGTCAGCGAAAGTTTTATCCTACTTAATCACCGTTTTGATGCTGATGAATTCCTGTCTGTTCTTTCTTAGGTTGTAATACCACGATAGATTTGGTTTTCCTTGCTGATGGAACAAAACACATTAAGAGATCGCATTTTAAGAAAATAATGCGTTTCATCAAGAACTTAGTCAAAGTGTTCCACGTCTCTCAACAAGGCACCCACGTTAGTTTGGTGTTGTACGGGGACGATTCTGAGACAATTTTCAATCTAAATGATTACTTTTCCCTAACGGAACTCAACTATGCACTCTCCAAGATTAAATCACCCAAGAAGAAGAAAAGATACGTCGGTAAGGGCCTCAAACATGTTAAAGACAACGTTATTGCAAAACATGGCCGTAGTGGCGTTCCTAAAGTCGTCATTCTTTTGCAAAATGACAAATCAAAGGACGGTATAGAGGATATCTCACAGGCGATCAAAAACGACGAGGTGAAGATATTCTCAGTTGGCTACGGAAATAAGAAGGTGAAGGGACAACTCAAAGAAATTGCTTCCAAGCCAACGTCGCTGTACTACAAATCTACGAAATACTCCGAAATTAAGACGGCTTACTTTGTACAGGAAATGAAAGAATCTGTCTGTATGGGTAAGTGCGGTCTAGTGTTGGATTAATCTTAATGGCATTGTTTGTCGCTCTCGCTTGTTTTCATCGCTTATAAAATGATCCAAGGCCTGCGAATCAGCAGCATTTCCATGCATGGAATCGATAGCTCAGTTTTCCTGCATTGGGAATACAATTTAACTAGCTTTCTATAATGCTCGCTGCAGTATTAACTGATGTACTTGCCCGTTCGGAATAGTGTTTACATTTATCTAGTAATTCGAAATTTAGTGATAGGTTTCGTAGCAGTCTTGTCTCTGTAGTAAACTTCGCCTTCAGCTAATCCACCGTAGGAAAAAAGATGGCCGCTGTACATTTTACCACAATGCCTTGCGAACCTAACACAGCCTATAAAGCACAGAGAAAGCCAAATTTTTACAATATTTTTCCCTGTGCTAAGGACATTGAGTAGCCTAGGTTTGAAGATTTTAAAACGTTTCTCTACGTTTTCATGAACGTTGTTAAGGTTTTTGTGCGCTAAGAATTATGGGTAAATGTGCCGGTCGCCATTTTTTTTCCTACGGAGGATTGCCACGGTGCGTTACATTTTTTTCAAGGATAACTGTACTCTCTCTCATTTTGCAGCATTAAATCCTTGTTCATCATCCCCGTGCTTTAACAACGGCAGATGCACTCCAAAAGGAGGTGGGTTTTCCTGTGCATGTCAGCCAGGATTCTCAGGAAGCATTTGTGAACACGGTAAGCTTGGCAAATATAGCGTTTCATGTAGCTTCTTTCAATTTTATTTCTACTCAAGTCGGACTAATTTTTAGCTTTGCCCCAGCTAGTGTGGAGGACTTTGGTGTTAACATGTCTTGGAATATTTCCTTCGCCATATTCGTCGCAAAAAAAGAAGAACTCGACACTGCTTTGTGCAACGATTGGAACATCATTTTGCTGACTTTTTATAGCAAAGCATTCCTTCTGTAAGAAGTGTCGATGTAAACGCAGAGCTTTCAGTACAGTGAACACAAGGTTAAGGCTTCGATAAACAATAAACATGTAATATGACACAGCCAACATACCCTGAGAACAGGTGACCGCTAAATAGTATGGAAATGTTAACTTCCGTCTGAATATTTTTACAACGGACCATATCTGGCGTAAGCTCTAGGTTTTTTATGTTTGTAATTGTGTTTTCTCTGGTTTTTTTTTTTTTTTTTTTTTTTTTCTCTAGAAATATCTCCATGTTTTCCAAATCCATGCGAAAATGGCGGACATTGCTACCAATCAGGTGACTCGTTCACATGCAGCTGTAAAGCTGGTTTTACATCGGAAAACTGTGAAGATGGTAAGGGTATCATGCAATAACGAAGCCAAACAGTTCATTAACTCTGCACTTATATGTAATTTATGTCTATAAAATGCAGGTTTGTTTTTGCATCGAACACCGCAAAATTGACGGATGTAGTGCTCGTCTGCATTGCATCCAGCCAAAGTGTTCAATTATTCCGGATCTTCTCCGGGACTAGGATTATTTCTTGTCCTCCATGGATGGGATGCTTTGGGGTGCGCAGTGGCAACATGGCTACTACGCTCGACTCCGGATCGATCGATCCGGGTCGAACCCTGGCCGGGGACATTGTGTTGTGTTCTTGGGCAAGATACTTCACTCTGACAGTGCCTCTCTCCACCCAGGTATGTAAATGGGTAAGACTAGCATCCCATCCAGGAGTGAGTAGAAATACTTCTAGTCGCTTCCTGCTACTGAAACCACGATAAGCTCCGGTTTGATGGACATTTTCACTCGTGTGCAGCCTTTACCTACCTACCCAGGTGGGATGCTGGTCCATTGCCGGATTATCCCCAACATTCGCTGATAGTCATTTATGCACCTGGGGGGAGAGAGGCGGTCGAGAACAAGCAAGGCTCGAAGTCGGACTACTCCAGAGTCCAGCTTGCTAACTAGGCCACTTCGTCCCAATAAGAACTGTGAGGGGAGAAATGACTGAAAGTTTTCAGTTTCAAGAAAATTCATTTTTACCATAATAACGTCTCTTAGATATAAACGAGTGTGACTCTGATCCCTGTGTGAACAATGGTGAGTGCAAGAACACACCTGGAAGTTATCACTGCGCCTGCCCACAAGGATATTTAGGAGTCAACTGCCAGTCAGGTGAGTGCTCATTGTTAAATCTAATACACCGAATGCAAATATGGCCGACCGCTCGGTTGGCGCCCGGGACGAGTCGCATGCAAGCGAGGCCAGTCAGGCTTTGATGTTTTGTTTTGACAATGCTTCCCCAGAAAAGTCTTGCTTCGTCTTCGATCTGGTCTCCTATAAGTTGTGTTCCTGGATACCACCAGAAGGAATTGAAATCTTCCACAGCAGAGAAAGTGTGCTTTTTTTTTTTTTTTTTTCGTTTCCGCGGTCGCCCCTCAGGGAAAACAGACGAAGGTAAGTAGTTCACGATCGACGAAGGAACTGTTAAAGCTTATTCGTTCAGGCTGGAAGATCTTAGACAATGTGTAAGCGACCGCATTTTGCTCTAAGTCGTTCTCATTTGGCTCAAAGCATTCACTGGATACAACGATGGGAATTGCATTGATCCACTATTTTCCCTAAGCTTAAGAGGCGAACGGTGGAAAATTTATATCCCTTCTCGTGGCGTTTAGAAACACAGCAGCTCGTAGCCACAGCTAAATAAAACAGACCAGATCGTCGACGAAGCAAGATTTTTCTGGAAAAACATCAAAGCCTGACTAGCCTCGCTTTCATGCGACTCGTCCCGGGCACCGACCGAGTGGTCCGCCATATTTGCATTCGGTGTATGATAATCAATAATTGAAAATTATGTTACCAAGCGCCCAAAAATTATCATGGCACCCTTGCCAAGTGCCGGAAAGCATACCTAAGCTAGCTGTGAACGGTAATGGCTTGTTTTCTCCTCACTTGTTAGAATGTAGCATGTCTGTTGTAATTGATGCCCGAACCGGGCCACTTAGAAGAAAACTAAGCGGTCAAAACGTAAACTGAGAACAAAAGACTATTAGCTTTGTCGTGACGGAAAGTAATGGTCTGTTTGACGTGAAAACATAAACACTATCGGCTCCTCTGCGTTACAAACATTCAGTCCTTGACGGCAAATTATCTTAGTAATAAATCTCGTTCGAAAAAAACGGTTTGAAAACTCATTTTGCGACAACTAGACCGAAACGGTTGAAAAACGTTCAAAATTTAGGGTCAAAACTAGCCAGTCAAGAAATGGCAGAGTTTCCTGAGTTTCGTATCACCGCGCACTTTTTTGGGTTTTAAATTTTGTTTAGATCTATTGTTCGTATTCCTCAATGTAATTAGTTTATTTGATAACAAAAAAANTTTGAGACAGAGGATGTTTTCAAGAGGAGCTTTTCTTTACTTTGGGAAAAGTACTGGCCATGTAAATCGTGTTGGTACACCACCAGACACCACATAAGCTCGTCATTTATACGATTTTTCTCAGATCTTCTAATGTGAAATGTAGTGAACAAACTTTAGTTCCTGCGGCGATCGTGAACTCCTTTCCTTCATCTCAACGAATTGGATTGATCCACTATTTTCCCTAAGCTTAACAGGCGAATGGTGGAAAATTTATATCCCTTCTCGTGGCGTTCAGAAACACAGCAGCTCGTAGCCACAGCTAAATAAAACAGACCATATCGACGACCAAGCAAGACTTATCTGGGGAAGCATTGTCAAAACAAAACATCAAAGCCTGACTAGACTCGCTTTCATGCGACTCGTCCCGGGCGCCGACCGAGTGGTGCTCCATATTTGCACTCTTTTTATTCAAATCTGATATAAGTTGAGGTTTTCAAACACTTCCACGGCACAGAGAAAGGCTCCCACAGTGTCACGAAATGAACTTAAGGTTTATAAGGCTTTGTTTTTCATTCATCATAGCCCTTGGCTCGGTTATGATCTTCGGCATGGTTTTTTACGCGTCGGAAATCCTTTATAACTGGAACAAGGCTATTCAAGTAGTGGTAACATTTTCTAGCGACACCAACTTGGAACTTAATGATACAGCACAAAGGCGCACAGATACGAAGCCATTTATTTATCTCACAGGAACCGAACAGTGCCTTCCTGCTTACTTGGCAAGTTCTAATCAAATTGGTGATCCCAAGACTTGCGCTTGCGATGTGATGGTGCTAAGTTTCCGAACCAAATGTGAGACTCCACATAGCAATTTATCACACGTAAGTTATTTGTTTGATCCGAACACCGGTTGGGCATCGGCGAGAAATGTGCTCTTTTTTACCGCAATGAAAAGAAGACCAGGCTATCATTATTACATATTCCTAAACGACGACACGGTTCTTAAGTACAACCAGTTTGCTCCTGTCAACATGCGAGAGATATCACCGTTTCGAACTGTAGAAAAGTGGCTGTTAGATTACGAGCCAGCCTTGGGATTGTTGGATTATACGTTTCACAATGGAGCAAGTGTTGTGCTCGCAAGAAGGAGAAGATGGTGTGGTATAAAGAAGAAATCTCTTGTTCTTCCTACTGTGTTCTTTGATGCAATCTTCAACGCTTTTCATCATAAAGCTGTTGAACATCTTCTGCCCTATCCGACGCAATATGAGCGCCACAACTGGTATTGCATTAACATCCAAACTGTAACCCAGGTGGAAGTGAAATTTCCCGGCCAAGCACTCTTGTTTGCTCCAGTTACAGCTGTTAATCCTATCCATCGCCCTTATAGCAGAAACCAAACAAATGTATCAAACATAATGCGTGAATATGTCGAAGGCATCATACAAGAAGCTCCACCGAAACTACGAGAACATGCTGTATTAAAAAAATTACGTAAATACCAACGGAGACTCTTAGGATATCTTAATAATCTGTCACGCACGTTTTGCTTAAACGTTTCTCGTCACCAGCCAATTATTCCATACAATCATTTGCTAGGCGAAGTCTGATCTTATCTCTCTTCTGTCTCTCTTCTCCGAGCGAGAGCTACGAGATCTGCCACCCTACAGACTGCACTCAACTCGCGCTGCCGTTTTTTTCCTTTCCTACCACTGCAGTCCTGAGCAACCCAGCTCTAACTTCGCCTTACTGGTTCTTGTTCATGGCTGCTGATGTGGGTTCTTAGAATTTAGCTGTACTAGACAAAGATTTAGTTATGTTGATTTTATAGTGCCCAAAGCGTATCATTCGATGTCATTTCACATTCGATGTACAAACTAGCGCATGCCTCGGATTTACTAGTCTTCTCCGCAGCCGTTTTTTGGGATTTCACGCAACGATCCCCAAAAACGGCTGCGGAGGAGACTACGGATTTACACGCGCACCAAGAATTTGTGTAGGTAATCGCATGAAACTTGAAATTTGCGAAGGACGCTGTAATATTAGTGAATGTCTGTATATAATAATATCTTACTGTTACATTCATTATGTGTAACACCACGAATAATGTCGGCAGTATGTTTATTATCGCTTCAACAATCGTAGCACAAACACATTCGATTGAAAAGCAAGTGTCGTAGAGAAACTATTTTAAGAGAATGTAACTTCAAATAAATACCGTTGTTTTCTGATTCCCTTGTGTAACATTTGTAACATACCCTGTAAGCAGGACATTTCTTACCATACTTACTTCTCTTTCTATGGGTTTAATTCATTACCGGCGCAATGCAGGAAACAAATATATCAACTAAACGTAATAGGCTTAAAAATCCCAACCGGCGGGAGGCAGACCAGTTGGTTATTACAAGCATGACCGACGAGTTAAACTAAGGTCTACCGAGAAACAACTCCAGCTAAGTGGTCAGAGCGGGACTTGAACCCGCGACCTCCAGATTTCAAGTCCGGCGCCCTGACCACTCGGCCACGCTGCCTCCACAATCTTTTCTCTAGTGCTGACAGAGACCTAGGTAAGCCTGTATCCAGACTATACAAGTTAAGGTTTTCTTCTAGACACAACCCATGCCTAACTAAAGCCATTGACACAATAGGTGATTTTAAATCCTGATTGCTTAGATTTATGAAAATCACCACATGTACCCGTTACTGTAACTGAAATTTTCACCAGTCCAGCAACTCTGACTATGGACTATGGTCAAAGTGCAGATATCTGATGTAACAGAATCACTAGTGGTTTACAAAAAAATCACTAAATGTGCCAGAGGCAGGCATGGGATGAATTTGCTGGTGATTTTTGCTGACAATCCAATTTAGCACAATCATTTAATAAAATTCCCTATTGTATTGTAACCCTCCAAGTTGCGACCATTTCAGTTGCCATGGCGACTAGAATTTTGGAGCTGGCGA